TAAATTGGCACCATTGGATACTGGCGGTTTCATGTAGGGGGCAGATAGCCAACCGGGCTCTCATTAATATTTTCCACCATTGTTTGACTCTACCACAAGCTAAACATGGAAGTTCGGAAGATCGCCCCTCGCGGTTGTGTCAATATTGCAACATGCGCACATGTCTGCATACCTTGTGTTCAGGTGTGCTATTACGTGTAACATGGACATAAAATACGCATGGCAACGCATTCAGGCATGAAATGTGCACACGGTAAGCATATCCTGGGCCTAACACTGGCCCCAGTAGACAGCTAGTAGAAGCTGGACCTATTTTCTATGAGAAGTGATTTCGCTCCCGCACAGTATTGTGTGTACACAATATGACATGGTCCTTGGAGTGCATCAAAACTGTCATTGCGACACGTCCAAAAGTTCAAAAATCTCCAACTCCATGCAAATTTATCGTGCGTCGCGACCATATCGTGAAGTGAGTGTCCAATAGCCGAGCTAGACTCAGGGGTGGGCTGTACAGTGGTCCAGTCACAATACACAGCAGATTCATGTGTCATTATAATCTATAGTTACTTCGAAGAGAGTAGTAGACTGGCAGATATTCACCTTCAGAACACTGAGTTTTGCCCCGCTTCACTTTGCAGATTTCGCTTCCTTATGTCCCCACCGTAAAGGGGTGTACTTTAAACACCAATGCCAACAAAGTGAAGTCCAAGTGAAAATCCAATATCAATACAACACTCCCACATTACACTTGGCATTGCTTTTATCGAAACTCCTCACATGGCAGAAATTTTGATAGTTTAAGTGAAAATCCAATATTGTTAAATCCGTTTATCGAAACTCCTAACAACATTCTTACATTAAAACCTTTCCTAGACTATCAGATTTAGCATCCAACACCCTATCAAAAAGCTCACTGACATTTACATTGTATTGTATTGTATTGTATTGTATTGTATTGTAATAATATTGTACCTTAACTAGACTTGAGGCCATTGTAAGGGCTACTGTATTTTCAGTGAACAAATCTGGAAGTCTAAGTGGAACTAGAAAAATTGCATTTCCTTGCAGAAAATGCGTGGAAATGCTGAGTGCTGAATGCTGAAAAAGCAATGCTAAGCTGCTAATAAAACATGGAGAAAGATATTAAAATAACCACTGAAATGTACAACATAAATACGTGTGTCTTGTGACAAAAAGAGTATGAAACACAGTGTAAGTCCAAAATCAAATCCTAAATTTGCGAATCTTTAGATATTTGCTGGCGCTGTCACAGATTTAACTCTGAACTGTCTCAGATTATAATCTGCTGGGAGGTCTCTGTCATGTTTCAAATGTTACACTCTGCATATTAAATGCAAAAGAGGTAAAAGATTATGTTAGAGACACATTGGTAAACTACTGTCACACCCCTATAAATTTGAGTTTGCATTTTACTGTCATCATAAGTTAAACGTGTTTCTTACCTCCTGTTGAAGCTCGAGCACGCAATTCTCTGAGCTTCTCCTTTTACAGGAATGGGTTGACTCTTCTGTGCAGATTTAAAGAAGAAATAAGAAAGCATTGGTTAGTATAAAAGAAACTGTCAAATAAGTTTCAGACTGACAGCTTTAAATAGCCCAGAAGACATAAAAAAATCTCTTATAGAGATTTCTCACAATAACATGAGCTTTTCTGCTCTTAAGCACGAAGAGTCTTTGACATGGTGGGCAGGACTTTCATGTGATGTCAATGCATCACTTTTAAGATAACCATCCGAACGTCTCAACTTTTAACTCGCTGTTGTGGCCACATTTTTTGGAGTACAGACATGAAAAACAGATCATTGTGTTCATGAAGGGGGGAGGATTTGTACAATGTTCTTATTTTCATTCTGGGATATAAGGAAATCGTGCTATGTGAAGAAGTCCAGAGGCAGCTTCTCATTCAAACAGTCGGTCAGTTAATGCCTTTGATCTCACAGCTGTTTAGGATGCAATCATTAACGAGACACACACACACACACAGTCTGACAATGTGTGTGCGTGTGTGTCTGTGTCTAAAAGACCTGCATGTACACACAATTAATATGTGTCTGCATCACCACCTATCTCCACCCACAAACTTTGAGCTACAGAAACCATTCTGGGCTTCAAAAATTCAGCTCATTGAGGACATTATGGGGTGTACTCAGGATTTTTTTTATTAAACTGTTCCTCACTTTAAAATTATTCTCATTATTCATGCATTATTAAATTCGTTAGACAGATCTAAACTCATTCAAACTGACTCAAACCTTTCTGATACTTCAAACCTGTTTAACACTTTAGGACTTCTAATTATTTTAAAATTTTCCCACTTCAAAATCATTCCCATTATTTATGTATGTTTTAATTCTTCAAACAAAATCCCAGTTCTACCACTACAATTACTACTTATATCACTTTAACTTGTATCTTCACTTCTACCTCCACTGCTCTTGCTTCTCTTAATATTTTTTTACTTCTACCACGAGCTCTACTGCTTTGACTTCTACTTCTTCTATTCTAAAACTACTTCTACTGCTTACATGACTACTAATATCACTAGTACAACTACCTATTATCATACGTCTTCTAGTACTTCAACTTAAACTTATGCCGCTTCTTACTTTTCTGTGTTTTAAGGTAATTTTCTTCCTTATACAATTTTTTTTTGCAATTTCAAACAGTTTTTCCACCCTTATTTAGCATGAATGCAATTTTAATTTATGAAGCACATTCATACTATTTGTACTTCAGCAATTTTCACTTTCATCTAACTTCTACTTTTCTTTCTCCAGGTCTTTAACCAAGTTTACATTTAAACCTTCCTCCATTTTTTTTTTTTTTAGCAGTTTAGCATTGCTTTTTCAGCTTCCAGCACTCAGCATTTCCACGCATTTTCTGCAAGGAAATGCAATTGTTTCTAGTTTTGATAATGCCTGTCACATTAAAGTCATAAACACTGTAAATATCTATGCACACATTTAATCCTTGTCGATGCATCGCTTAACCATCACGAAAGACTCGACAGTAACACAAGTTTGTATGCTAATATTATCATGAAATCTTACGGTCTCCATGTCGTAGATGTTGTCCTTTCTGTTCAGGTGTTGGTTAGAGGTGTTTGTCGGAGTCCTTAGTCGTCTGGTGAGGTTTTATTTACGATGAAGCCGTCAAAAGTTGTAAGTTCGTGAGCCGCTTAAGTTTTTCGTGCTGTTCTCTTCAGATTTGATCTTGAGAAATGACCGCTCTCTTTTGCTTGTAATGATTTAAAGTTTTTACATCGTTACAGGTTACCATGGAGATTTAAAATGCTGTTTACTTTAGAAAAACCCTTACACTGGTAGGTTATATCTAAAAGTTTAATATTATCTTTAATTTACTTTAATCTCAATAGAATATAAATATCTCTTGAAGTAAAGTGGAGGTTATTTTTCGTCAACTAGTTTAAAAGTTTAAAAGCATTTTAATTTAAAAACCTTCCTTATTTCGGTACAAAACGACAACGTTTTGAAAACTATAGCTAAGTAGGCCTTTGTCTCATAGGTAACCCAACAAAAACTGGAAACTTTGTGTTTCATTATAAATTCCACTGAAGCCTTTACTTCAATTAAATTCAGTCGATTTTCTTTAGAAGGCTACTAAAAATAGTCTATATATACTCCTATCATATCAATATTTTAGAGCAGTAACTACATCTGTAAAGCTTTGTCCCCCTGTTTTAAAAAAAACCCCCAAAGTTTATCATCGTCATTGATCATTGTTTAATCGCAGGGCTCTCAAGTTTTGAACTAAGCTTAGAGTGAGATTTCCTTGGGGGGGTGATTGAAGATAATTATTAGTATAATTATCTCTTAAATACAACGGAGTATAAGGGGCACAATTAGAAAAAAAAACGTTTTTAAATCTTAAAGAATAAAGTTATTATTTGGGAGAATAAAGTCATTAATACAATACATCAAGTTTGAGCATCTTCCCATCTCTGAATGCATCATCAAAGTGGACACTCATATTAAGCACAGACCTCTGATTAATAAAAATTATTATTGGTAGAGAGCACATGGTTCAGAATATTCAAATGGGGGAGTTTCCAGTTGACAATGTATATGTGAGCTTTACTAATTCTTACTTGTGGTTGAAAATCCATCAGGAAATACATAGATGCCCTGAAGAAAAGATGCCTTTGTCTTCTTGCATGGCGGTGCTCTATGGTTTTCAGCCTACACCAGGCAGAACTACCTTATGGTTTCTGAAATTATCATTGTACATGAGAAGAATGTAGTCGGGAAATGATGTATTTGCCAAGGAATAACCAAACGAGGTCATAATTATTATGTTGTGTGTTGGTCATTTTGCAGCCCTCTGCTGCTCATCACACGCCCAGCAGGTGGTGTATAGCATTATCACCATGGATACACAGGCGTTTGTGTTATCTTTTTCATCCACTGCCGCTGGGTTTGTGTCGCGTAGTTGTTGATTATGAAAACACAATAATTTGGAAACATGAAGGGGGAGCTGCTGCTGTCCGGTGTTTAAGCGGACACTTCGGTCTCCGAAAACGCCGAGACAAATTTACAAACAGCCGCTATTTCAAACAACTGGGCTCGTAATCGTGATGTAAACATCTACTTTCTTGCTAGAAAAAATATTCTATTGAATGAATTTATATAATTTGTCCGGAATGCAGTCGTTTTGTGTAGCTTGTGGTAGGACTATTTAAATTTTCCCGGCGCTGCGTCCGGCCGGCACGAAATGCATTCTGGGGTATTTAGTATGCATCTGTATGTAAACGCTCGGGCAGCCGCGGCATACTCAAATCATCTTTGAGTATTCAGTATGCAATATGTACTGATTGAGTAGGTAAGTAGACAGTGGGCAGTATGCCATTTCGGACACAGCCACAGCCACAGTCTATGGGTGGAACCAGAGCAGTGCTCTGGGTGGAACTCAATGGTGAAATCGAACTCTGTGGTGTAGTTCACCTTTCAGTCTGCGGTGTCGCTGCGGAGCTGAACGACCCGGAAGTTGAAGCCTTGGCAGAATCTCGCGATATTCTTTTGTTTTCATTGATTCCAAACATGGCGTCTGAAGGAGAGGCGGGCAGTGCGGCTACGACTGAACCTGAGCCCGGAGAGGGGTTTGTCTCCTTTTTACTCAACGTTTGTTATGGTTATAAATTTCACGGACCTATTTGTCATCTTTGGGGATGAAACAGAGTAAAAATAAACTCTTATTCTGCTGTAAAAGTGTTCAGTTAGCATGTGGCTAATTAGCGAGAGCGCTCCATAGGCAGAGACTGAAACACAGACGCTGCTTTCTGCACATAAATCTGTTTATCCTGCACAGAAATAAGGATTAAAAGGCGGATAAGACCTTTAGTGTGGGCGTAACATGGTAAAAATTCAGCATGTATCAACATACATTGATTAGACACCTGATAACGAGCTAATTTATTATGAAAATGAATATTTACTGTACAGAGAATCGTTAATAAAAGGCTAATCACTACCGCTGTCTTTGTTTTTAGGTCGATATCTGAGTTATACCTGACAAAACAGACAGTATGAGTTATAACAGATTATCTGTGAGAATTTTAGATGTTCTTTCCCGTTCTTTTAAGTAAATTTAACAACCTAACCATCCTTTTGTAGCTGTCTAATAATAATAATGATAATGAAAATAAAAATCTTGTATCTGCTCTCAGAGATGCTGCATTCAGGGAACTTCCCACCAGCATGGACACAGAGTCATCAAACGGCAAAGAGGGGATGGTAATTCCATCAAACATGATATTGACCACCGGGTGTTGAAGTGTTTATGATACATGCTGTTAAATTAAAATGTATGCGCTGTTTTAACTTCTTTATTTTCCCTGACAGGAGACGGTGGGTGAAGGGTCTGAAGCTGCCGACGCTCTGACTGGATCTGGAGACGAGGAGACGGGGAGGCAGCTGGGGGAGGTGGAGCTGCAGTGTGCTCTCTGTATGAAGTGGTTCACTGCGGACACTTTTGGCATCGACACTGCGTACGTTTTAATCAGCTGTTTGACAGCCAGTGAAACATCAGGAGTTGAAAGGATATTCCATCGTAAAATTAAGTTAGGATTAAGCACACCTTAACACCGAGTTAGACTACCCCTTAAGAAGTAAGTGTTGCTGACCACTTGCTTCTCTAGTTATACCAACTTAAGTAATGACCGCAGGATAGCAATACAGAGAGCCACGCGCTCAACCAAAACACCACTCTATAGCCACAAATAATGCTCAGAACAGCACCTAACTTCATCAACAAGACATACAGGGTCCCAGCCATAGAACTAGCCACCAAACATCCTTTGAACTTTGCCTAATTTCTTTAGCAAAGAGACTAAACACAACTCACTTACTCTCTTCCAGCAGCTACTCCTCACTGAGCATTTTCTCTGTCTAAAAGAGGTCAAGTAGACGTCTAAATGTAGCCGAGACGACTGGTCTAAAATCAGGCTACCATAAGTCTAAAAATGAAAGTTTTTTAGACGTCTAAATTTAGACCCAATTTTCAACAAGCCGGCTAACAGAGCTGTATCTATACTACACTGTATTTTGCTCAACGGTTATCATAAATATTCTTGGAGATCAGTTATGCAACTCACAGTTGCTTTTTGAAATAAATAGTTATTGAATAATGGGTTAAAGTGCAATGTCTAAATTCGGTCTAAAAATATGCAGAATCTAGACGTTTGAAATTAGGTCTTAAAAAAAGAAAAATTAGACATCTAATAGCCGTCTATTGCTCAGTGGGTTGTTTGTAGTGAGACTTCGGGCCAGTCCATTACAGACTACAGTTGGGTGACGCAGCTCAAGGAAGAACATTTATGATCATGATGGACTGGCCTGAGGTCTCTGTACAAACAAGCAGCTGCTAGAAGAGAGTAGGTGAGTTGTGTTTAGTCTCTTTGCTGAAGAAATTAGTCAAAGTTAAAAAGATGTTTGGTGGCTAGTACTCGGTGTTACGGTTTGACCCTGACTTAATTTTACGCAGGAATATCCCTTTAATGCAGCTGCACATTACTGATATTTACTCTTCTCATCTTCTGCAGGACCTGTCTTCCCTTCATGACTAATTATGTGTTTCACTGCAACGTGTGCCATCACAGTGGCAACACGTACTTCCTCAGGAAACAAGCGAGTAGGTGTCACATGTCCCAACGCAGCAGAGTGTGTTTTTTTGGCTTATTTCACATGAATGCACGGTCACTGCTTTCTCCCCTCACCACCAGTATCCTTCTTTTTTTTTCTTCTAGACCTGAAGGAGATGTGTCTCACAGCCTTAGCAAACCTGACGTGGCGCTCCAGAACACAAGATGAGCACCCAAAAACGATGTTCTCCAAAGACAAGGTGAACGTTAGTTATAAGCTGATTATTTCGGTGTATTTAGACCCGAGACTCTGAAATAATCAGCATAAATTTATGATGTTTATATGAGCAGTTTACACCACCAACTAAGGCAAGATTCCTAGATAGAGCTTCAAAGAATTGGACTGAATAGATCAGAGATTCATTCTTCATCACCTGCATAAAAAACAGACAGGACTCTGGGGTGGGAATCGCTGCAAGGGCTCAAAATCTATCTGGAAGAAACCAGATAGAAACATGATAGAAACACGGGAGACCCGAGCCAGTTTAAAGGTATATTCCGGTGTAAAATTAATTTAGGGTCAAACACACCGTAACACCAAGTTAGACACCCCCTTCAGAGATGAATGCTGCCGACCGCTTGCTTCACTAGTTATACCAACTTTAGAAATGACCGCAGGATAGCAATACAGAGAGCCACGCGCTCAACCAAAACACCACTCTATAGCCATAAATAATGCTTAGAACAGCACCTAACTTCATCAACAGTACATACAGGGTCCCAGACACTAGGACTGGGCGATATATGGTGATAAAAATATATATTAATATATTTTTAAATGAGATATGGAATTGGACCATATTGCATGTATCTATATACAGATATCAGATGCTGTTGTTGACAGGCTGGATCCCACACAAAATCTTAAACCCATTTCAACCGGGACAGCATGTACGCATTTCAACCTTCCAAGCCAGGAGCGTGGCTGCACATTTCTACTTGGAAAGCTGGGTGCATGTAGGTATTTCAACCCTTCAAGCAGGGAGAAGCGTGGTGCCACTGATTATTTCTACTCTTCAAGCCGGGAGCGCGAATACATCATTTTGTAACATTCTGTAATTTTTTAATCATTTCTGGAGTCGTGGCAAATCAAATCATCATACCCGTCTGCCTCTGATAGGTTAATTAAGATTAATAAAGGATTGATCAGTTGACCAGATTGATGCTCTGATCTTGCTACGTGCTTTGTGGGGAAAGTAAACAATGACGGAGGCAGAGAGCTGCTTCGGAGGAGAACAATCCAGCACGGTGAACAACCTCTTCATGTTGTTGTTTGTAGCGAGACCTCAGGCCAGTCCATACAGCGGGGTGACGCAGCTCAAGGAAGAACATTTATGATCATTTCTTTATCATTTCCTTGAAGCAATAATCGTCACATTAATCATTTTGCTCTGCAGACGTGGTAGTTATTCTGCCTTAGCGTCTCAGTCTGACTGCATTTCCATGAAGAAATGATGTTTGGGAAGATGTTTGGTTTCTAGTTCTACTGCTGGGACCCTATATGTACTGTTGATGAAGTTAGGTGCTGCTCTAAGCATTATTTGTGGCTATAGAGTGGCGTTTTGGATGAGCGCGTGGCTCTCTGTATTGCTATCCTGCGGTCGTTACGAAAGTAGGTGTAACTAGAGAAACAAGCGGTCGGCAACATTCATCTCTGGAGGGGGTGTCTAACTCGGTGTTACGGTATGTTTGACCCTAAATTAATTTTACGCCGGAGTATCCCTTTGAGGTGGTCTGAGGGTATAAGGAGGACTATCCTGTGGTCTGAAAAACTGAAATTTGACTTAATTTGGGAAATCGTAGACTCTGCAGCCTCAAACGTTTCTCTTTGTCTTCCTCAGATTTTAAAATGTATAGCAGTGCGGGTGTTAATTAACTTCCTCTGATGAATTTGTGAACATTCACTTCTATCTGCTTTCTTTTCTCTCTGCAGGATATCATACCGTTCATCGATAAGTACTGGGAGTGCATGACGACTCGGCAGAGACCGGGGAAGCTCACCTGGCCCAACAACATCGTTAAGACGATGGTAAGTGAAGACACTTTGATACCCAGACCGTTTAGAAGATGCTGCTTTGAATTCAGAGAGGGGAGAAGTGTTGAGACCAACCCTTTATGAAAATCTGCCAGTTAACAAATTTGTCAGATGAATGCAGTAAAGTTAAAATGACATTATACACTAAAAAGACATAAAACTGCTTTCGTTTATTGTCAAGGCTGTTTAACAATCCTGTTGTTTCCGATCCAGAGCAAAGAGCGAGATGTTTTCTTGGTGAAGGAGCACCCTGATCCTGGCAGCAAAGATCCAGAGGAGGAGTACCCCAAATTTGGCCTCTTAGACCAGGTACTGTTCACCCTCCAGCTAATGCACTTGTTAAAAGAAAAAGAAAGAAAGGTTTCAAGCTGCAGAGAGAGAAGAAGACAAAGTATTTCTTCTTTCTAAAGTTTGATTTTTGTATCTGTTACTGGTATGCAGGATCTGGGAAATATCGGACCTTCCTACGACACTCAGAAACAGACCACAGCGGCTCCCACTGCTGGAGGGCTGAACGGTACGGATCCAAAACACTGAAAACACAACCTAAAACACATGACATGATAATCTGTTTCAACAAATTCCAAGTGGAGGGTAGCAAACTTCCTAAAAGTAAAAGCAGGTGTGTGTTAAATGTGATGACAGTGGTCATTTTGTGCGTTGTGTTCCAGGTGGATCTTCTTTCTCAGGTGAATATTTGGTATTTTGGCATTTGCAGCCGATCACTTTTGTGTTTGTGTCTTGTAACCCTCCGGATCGAAGTTAGCCCACAAATCAAACCTCAAATTTAAAAAATGAAGCGATTACGATCATGTGGGCAACTTCATCCTTCCTGTCTGCTCTCTGTATCTGTTTGGTGCTCGCCTCTCCCAGAAAGCTTCTCCCCTTTTCGATCAGTGAACGTCTCCTCCTTGTCTCTGCTGCTTGCTGCTGATGGGCTTTAAGATCCTGAAAACTCCCCCCTGTCTGAAATGACTCCCTGTCCTGCAAAACAAAACACAGAAAAGTTTAAAAGAGCAGGTTGAGAATTGTGTTTAAAATCATAAACAGATTACCGTGACTGTTTAAGGAGGTGACATAAAATCAGGGTTTCTTTGGAGTGATTCCTGTGTGAATAGTCTGATGAAGAAAGAGCCGTCTTTTTCCTCAAAGACAGAACGATTCAGATCACATCTGCTGTATGAGGCTGATAGTGTTAAAAAAAAAATGCCATGCAACTAATTCCTGCCTTGTTTTGTTCCTGCTGTGTCCCTGTGCACACCAAATGCTTAATAACCAAACCTGCTTCCACTGTGTGTGCAAGTCTGTGTGTGTCTGAGCTCAGGATTGTTGGTTCAGAGAAACTATGAAAAGGTGAATATTTAAGTTCATTTGAAGTCTCCAGTGGCGTGACTGAGGTTTTAATCCAGCAGTGACACAAACAAGAGTGTCGACTGTGTCCGTTCATCAATTAATCAATCAAACTTGATTTATAAAGCAGTTTTCCTACAGGAATGTGACTCAAAGTGCTTTACAGTCAAGTTAAAAACAAAAACAAACAAACAAAAAAAAGATATCCCAGATGCCGCCTCACCCCCCCCACCCCCATCCCCCACCTACACACACACACACATTAAGAGAATGGGCATGAGGCTGAGTGCAGATGAACCAGTTGAGAAGGCGCCATCAGAGGAGCCGTCAGCACCAGGAGCAGAGAGCCGCCCGCAGCCACAGGACACCGACACGGGGCCAGTGGAGGGATGTGTCAGATACCAACCTCCACCAGGAACCCTGTGGCCGGCCCCTGCAACCACAAGCGACCACTGCTCCCGGTGCCGAGGGCTCCCTCGGAGGAAACACTGGGGGTCCTAAAAATTACAAAAAGATAAAAACAAGTAAAATCTAAAAAATGAATAAAACACAGACCTAAAATAAACCTAGGCTAACTAGAATAAATGAAGATAAAACAAATAAATATCAATTAAAAGCTAAAAAGGTGGGTCTTGAGCCTGCTCTTAACTGCCTGTCCGTCTGTGTGCAATTGTTCGTGTTTAATGTCTGAGAATAAAATCCGTTGTTTTTCTGAAGGTGCTCTGGCCCCTGGACCAGGAAAAGGAAGAGGGGCCAAACGTAAACAGCAGCAGCAGCAGGAGGGCACCGCAGCCGGAGCCACTAAGAGAACCAGGAGGTCTGAAACAATTACATTTCCAGGAGGCATTTCAAAATAAAAGCCTGATCTGATACAACACTGCGCTTTTATTCTGAAACTGTCTTATATACTTATGTGAAGTTTCTGTTGGGTATAGACAGGTTTCTGTGCAACGTCATCGCAGGTATGCGCACGCAGCCTTGGGGCAGAAAGCGGGACATTTCTTATTTGTTTACTAGCGGAGTCAAAGAAAATGACAAGGAGCTGTTGTGCTGTAAACTGCACGAATCGGCAAAACAAACAATCAGCAAACATTACGACCCTGCTCCTGATATTAGAAACATCTAAAACAACATCACAACCCATGTAAATTGAGTGAAATTCATGGATATTTTAGCAAGTGTTTTTTTGATTTTGATGCAATGAAAGACAAAGCGATATTTCAATGAAATGACATTTTATTGCAATTGTGTCAGGGAGAACCTGCAGACAATACAGCATCTTTAGTGATATCAGTTCACTTTGAAGCAGTCTTTTGCCCAGTGGTTGTCCACGCACCTAGTATTGTTTGTACACTAGAAACCCATCTAGGTAGAAGAAAGTCCTGCAGCTGTTTTTTAAGGTTCTCAGCCTCTTCTCAGAAGTTTTGTGCCTTAAAGACTGCAGAAGATAGTTTCAGCTCTGACGCCTCGAACTTTCATTTTTGTTGTTGTTGACTGTTTTTTAGGTGGATACTTTGTTCTTTTGTTGAATCAAGAGTCTGAATTCAGAATTCCTCAGGCTGCACAGATAACACCGCCTCTCTGAAGACCACCCTCTCCTCTTTTTTCTCCCCTCCCCTCCTCGCAGTGACCCCCTGTTCTCGGCTCAGCGCCTCCCTCCTCATGGTTACCCTCTGGAGCACCCCTTTAACAAAGACGGGTACCGGTACATCCTGGCAGAACCAGACCCTCACGCTCCAGATCCCGAGAAGCTGGAGCTGGACTGCTGGGCAGGGAAACCCATCCCAGGGGATCTGTACAGAGCCTGTCTGTACGAGAGGGTGCTGCTGGCCCTGCATGATAGAGGTACTCAGAGTAAGAGTCTAGGGGCCTCATTTATCAACCGTGCGTACGCACAGATGTATGCGAAATTAGTGCGTACGAACATTCCCACCCCAAGTCTGGAATTTATCAACCTGTACTTATTCTTAGGAACATGTGTAAATTTAAGCACAACTCTGGCCATGCTTACACACAAACCCTAGTGGTAGAACAGTGAAACTACAACTAGAACCCATTAAAGGAGTCATAGCAATCAGCAATCTCAAACTTCACACATGTTCTCTGTTCCCTCTGTACAAAATTTATCAGTTAGTTTTTGATCAGACATTTTGAATGATTGGCGTGACAAGCTATAAAAATCAGCTGTGACAGGACAACCTTAGAAGAAAGGTCCTTACACACCAGGGCTGACGCGAATATAGAATGTGAAATTAGGAAATATTCAGAGGCAAATTTTGACGCGCCTGACTATACACATCAAGCCTGATGCGATTTTGAGTCTTTCATGGAGGAAAAAGAAACATCCCGGGGAAGACTTTTCCTAGGGAAAGTCCCGCCCTCTTTGCCTCTGATTGCCTAGAAAAGCTGGAAACGTCATCACACGCTCAAGCCAAATGGTCAGCACTTCTGTCATGATAGCATGTACTGAGTCAGGGCCAGGACCAGATAAGCACATGAAACTATGCTAACAACCGTTAGCATACGTTAGCACAGATGAAAGTTAAAACAAAGACGTTTAGCAAACTGTTAAAGCACACAAACTATCGTCATATGAGAAATCTGACGCTATGACTCTCCACAAGTTGTCCTTCAGGTCCTTATCTTTGTAATGTTTGTGTCTTTTATCAAAAAGCACTCTGTTCTCCGACACATAAAACAATCAGCCTGTCAGCCATGTGAAAGTATGTGAAACTTCAGAAAAATCGAATGTGATCCGAAAAAATAAATGCCGCAATAACGCAGGACGGGAAAACGTCGCTGATGTGAACGCTTGTATTGACAGCATACGGGTTCAAAAAAAAATTATTGATGTCCAAAATAATTGCACAACAAAAATGCTCCCAGTGTGAAAGAACCTGAAGTCTTACAAGTACAAATACAAGTATCATGGATTATTTTGCGCTATAGGAGGACTTTGAGAACTGTCTCCTCCTCAGGGAGCCCGTTTTCAAAGAGCGCGCTGATCTGTTCAGTGAGAACACAGAGTGGATTCTCAGCAGGTACTGCTTCCCCAAAAACATTTGAATGGATTTATGATCCGTGATTTACAACCCATGTTGGAGCGAGAGACAAAACGCACCAAAGCCATCCCAGTGACCATCCAGCTCCTGTCCTCCCTAACTGGAACATCTCAGCGTGAGATTGGAGACATAAACAACATTTTACAGCCAAAGCTAAGCAGAATCATGCCGGCAGAGTTTGGTGCAATAATTTCTCCTGACTCAATTTACATCCAGTTCCCAAACACACATCAGCAACAAGCCGGAATAAAACTCATGACACAATAAATTCATGACATTGCCAGATTCTCTAACATAATTGGAGTCATAGATTTCACCACATCGTAATAAAAGCATCTTTACATGATAAATTCAGTTTTGTCAACAGGAAAAGATTTTAATCAACCATCTGCAAAATCCATTCACTTATTTTAAAGGGATTGTTAATAAAAAATATGGTCAATTGGGGGCGTTTCTGAATGAAAATGACCCTAACCATGCACGAGCATGGTAATAAAGAACAGGTGGGATTTATCATCACTGATTTCTTACTGGTGTTCGTACGACCAGTGTCTGCATGTTTGAGAAATACAGATTTTTTTGTACTTGCGCCCATTCTAAATTTCACTCCTACGCCAGAATTAAGAACCTTTTCTAAGCACGGTTGATGAATGAGGACCCTGGAGAAGGTTTTAATGTCAGGGTTAAAAAAGACCTCAGACTGATGTTTGTGTTTCAGCGCCTCAGCTGAAGATCTCTGACGACCGTCTGACTGTGACCGGAGAGAAAGGTTACTCCATGGTGCGAGCATCTCATGGGGTGAGGAAAGGTTCCTGGTACTTTGAGGTCTCTGTTGACGACATGCCCCCAGACACAGCAGCTAGACTGGGCTGGTCTCAGCCGCTCGGTCAGTGTTTCAACCTTCTCTGACTTCTGTCCCTAAAGTATAAAGTACGTTTAATTCAGTTGTTCATTCTTGAGATGTTCATATTTCCAGGAAACCTTCAGGCTCCACTGGGTTATGACAAGTTCAGCTACTCGTGGCGCAGTAAGAAAGGAACCCGCTTCCACCAGTCAATAGGGAAACATTACTCCTCAGGTTACGGTCAGGGAGACACGCTGGGCTTTTTCATCGAGCTGCCTGACACCACAGAGACCGCCAAGGCTCTGCCCGACACGTACAAAGACAAGGTAACACCTGAGACCCAGCGTGGACTGATCATGTGACCTCATTCTGACGTCTTTAACCTGTTTTCTTTTCTCTCCAGGCGCTCATTAAGTTCAAGAGCTACCTGTACTTTGAGGAAAAGGATTACGTGGACAAGGCGGAGAAAAGCCTGAAAGCCATGTCGCCCAGCAGGGTGAGAGAGTCGCTCTTAAACCCCAACAGGACTTCCTGTTTTCAGCTTTTAGATATTAAAATGAAGAAGTTAACGTGTCAGGTCATTTGGAGAAATAAGAGGTGAAATAAACAGATTTATTTTCTTTCAGATGATCTTCTATAAAAATGGAGTGAGTCAGGGCATGGCCTTTGAAAACCTGTTTGAGGGTCTTTACTTTCCCGCCATCTCGCTCTATAAGAGCTGCACGGTCAGTACGCAGAGACTTTCGCTTTATTTATTTAATTTCCTTCTTCTGTTTTTGTTCTGTCTGTCTATCCGTCTTTTTATTGTATATTTATCTGTTGTCAATTTCACCCTCTCACTGTGGATTTTGAATGCCTCTCTCTTCTTTCTTTTTCTTCTTTCCTTTCTATCTTTTAGTTATTTTTTATTGTTTTTTTTCTTTTTCATTTAATCATCTGCCCTTTCCTCTTTTTTCTTCGTTCTTCAATTTATGTTATATTTATATATATTTTTTAAAAATGTGTCTCCTTTCCAACATTTTTTTGTCCATATTTTGTCTTTTTTTATCATCCTTTCTCTCTCTTTTTTCCTAACTCCTTTGTCTTTTTACATTTTCTGTCATCTTTCTTTTCTTCCAAATTTCCTCTTTTACACTTATTCCCCATTTTCAGATTTCATAGTTTTCCCTTTTTTTGCTGTCTTTGTTTCCTTCTCCTTTAAAATTTTTTGCAGTACTTTTTTGTTCACTCTTCCTCTTTTTTTACTTCTCTCCTGATTTCTATTTTCTGTTTGGTTTTTCTCTTTGTTCTTTCTTTCCATCTTTTGCCCTTTTTTTTAAATCTGTTTTTTTTCCTCTTTTTCTCCCGTCAGGTGTCGGTGAATTTTGGGCCTCATTTTAAATATCCTCCTAAAGAGCTGAAGTACCAGCCGGTGAGAAAATAAGACTCTTTACAGCTCCTTTTAACTTCCATCGACCTTTTCCTTTTTTGTTTATGTTTCTATTTGTTTTTCTCTCCTCTCAGATGAGCGACATGGGTTGGGGGGCCGTGATTGAGCACACACTGGCAGACATGTTGTACCACGTGGAGACGGACGTGGACGGTCGCCGCAGTCCTCCATGGGAAGGATAAAGATCTTTGTGAAGTCCTGATCCATCTTTATCCCAGTTTAAGTAAAAGCACCGAACACGTCAGTCGACTTTAGAGCAAACAGACTGTGCCTGAATGAAAGTCCTGCAGTATCTGATCCATGAGGAGCAGAATCTGAGAAAACCCGGGTCTCTTTTCCAGATCTGAGGGACTGATTGGTACTTCAAATTTAGGAGCTGCTTCAGAACATGGACCGCAGTTCAGCTGCTGTTTTAAGACTGAATGAATCTTCTGGAGCAGCTTCTAACTTTCTCCACCGTCACAGTCTTTCAGATCCTTAAAGTCCCGCATTCAAACCACGAGTTTAAAGCTCGTCTTATTCGGCGCTCGTTGACTCACATTCCTCTGAAAATCTTCTGGTTTGGTGCTCGGGTCAAAGATGTGAATATTTAGAGAAATCACTGACGTTCTGCAGCGAACTCGGTTGTCTCTTCAACATTTCCTCTCAGTCCTCGATCCTGACATCTTCAGTTTGTTCATTTTCCTTATTTTATTTGTTTTACTTTGTGTGTCGGTTATTTACTGTTTTATACTCTTGCTAAAATAAAAAATAAAAATGCTCCACGAACAAAGCGGCCACCAACTTTTCTTCACTGTTAATCTGTAACACTCATTTTGCTGTTTTTATGTTTTACATGACTGATTAAAGTCGTTTAAATATCTGAAAAGTGAAAAATGCTCATAACACCTTCGGGATCTAAATTATACCCCAAAACTTTTCAAACAAAGTAAAGAAAGCGGCAAACTCAAACATCTAAATGTCCAGTGTGCAAAATCTAATCAGAGGTGAGGTACTTTGAAGACTACAGGCCTCTATTTTAAATATAATTGAGAAATTAGTGCAATTTTATTTTAATTATAATATTTTTAACTCCTTAAAGAACAAGCCCAGTCAGAGAAAAGCTGTTTATTTACATGTTATTCACTGAAATATGAACACCATTCATCACTTTAAAAGTGATTAAACTTGCTTCAAACTATCACAAAGATATATTCATAGCTTATTAAAATTTAATCTGACGACAGCAATAAATCCAAGATAACAATCCAGATATCCCTTTAAAACAGTAAAAAACACAAAATAGTGTCAAAATTTCTTATAATCTCTCACTTAAAAAATCTGAAAATGTTTATTTTACACTGAATTTACAGACTTCAGAACCACAGAGTGATTTTAGTCCTGAGTTAATGAGACTTTTTTTTTTGCACATTTAATGTGAGCTGTTTGTGATTTTCGTGACAGATATTCAGAAAAGAGGCAAAAATTAGGAGAACAATAGAGAAAAACAAGTTATATACATAATTTTTGTTCCTTCACAACACACTGAAAAATTCTGCTCTTCAGCTGAGCTCCTCAAGTTTTATAAACATGAAGTTTGGCGTCATATTTTCTGTTCGCCAAAAATGCTAATTTTCCTCTGAATGTGACAAATAAAACGCCAAAATTTAACATCAGAGGAAAGTTGAAAAAAAAAACAAAAGTGCTTGTTTACAGAAGTGATGGATGACTTCACAGATCTAAAGAGAAATAAATGCTATGCTCAGATTAGAGTGAACCTCTGTCCTCACCGTCTGACTGGTTTTAGTGTCTGTTTGCTTCTTTGGCCTCTAGAGGGCGGTGCTGAACAGTCCTGAGTTCATGTAGGTCTCACTGGGCACCAGGGGCTGTTTGCTCTCATCTGTCGCCTCTGGAGGATGCTGTTGGAGGAAAAAATAATCATCAGTCTTCAATTCAAAGACTCAGGCACTGTTCTAAAATAGGTGCTCGTACATTTCTGCGGAAGATCCGGCCCAGGAGGCTGCCTTTGGGACTCTTACAAGTCTGGGACCAGTCCAGGTCTTGAGATCGGGATCCTTCAGGGCCGAATGTGTTCAGCTCCCTGAAACATCCGGTTTCTATCACCTGCAGAGGAGCAGACAGACAGAGATGAGCTTAAGTCCTGTCTGACATTGTGAACTATGAAACCCGTTTTTACAGACCCGTGGAATCCTTGTTCCTACCTCATTCTGCCAGGTTATAGGGACGCTACCCGTGTTGAACTTAGAGTAAAATTCAAAGTCTTTCTGGTCCAGAGTGACCCCCTTCACCGAGGAGAACTCCTCAATGTCCTGCACGTCGCTGCAGTACACCTGTCTGGGCTGCAAACAAAACACAACACCCACAGCTGAGCACGGTTCCTCCTTCTCATTTTTGAGACGAGTAAGAGGAACTAAATGTGGTACACTTTTATAGTATCTCCTTTAACGAGATCAGTAATGACATTTGGCTCCTCGTGGCCTCTAGAGGTTTTCATGGTTTTCAACTGGTCTCACTCTGGGACCCACATTTTCCCACGGTCCTTAAGTCGTGACCCACTTTTATAAAATTCAAACCAAGAAAAATTATTTATTATAAAAAAAACCTTTAAGGACTCTAATCTTTGACATAAATACACCTATTTTTATTGAATAAAGTGCATTTCAGAGCACATGAACTGAAGACAACAACTACTGAAGTTGCGTATACAGAAAATATCAAATTGCACACAATAGAGACCAGCAAAATGAAAAATTTGACTTATGTGCATCTCTGCATTCAGAGCATATTCAGAAGAACCTGAGGGGGACCATGCAACAGCATGGACAAGAGTGAATAAATATCAAATTGCACAAATAAAGACCATAAAAAAACATGTAGTTTTACTGCATTCAGGCCACATTAATAAGAAACCGAGGAGGAACACAACATAATGCATGCCTTTCAAAAGAAGCTATTTTTCAAAATAAAAGACATGTCAAATATCAGATTCACATTAAATATTTACTTTTTTGACCAGGTGTTCACGACCCATCCAGAAGGTGTCCGCAACCCACTTTTGGGTCGGGACCCACCAGTTGAGAACCACTGCTCTAGAACTTTAAGAGAACCAACAGAGGCAACATCACTGAATCTGATCCAGTCCTGCAAAACCTTTTTGTGCAAGTTGCATTTTCATCACACGTTTGTATGAAAGAAGGAGATCATGTATAATCGGATTAGACGAGTTTTTGGATTGGAGTACTTGCATCAGGCTTGAAAGGAGGCTCTACGAGTCCGGCCTCCAGCATCCTGAAGTTCATCTTCTTAAAGAAAGGATGTGACCGAACCTCTTTTCCCCCTAAACTGCTGCAGCCTAGACGTTCTTTCGGGTCCTTCTTCAGCAGCTGAAACAGGAAAGAAAACCTGTCAACGTCACCCAAACATGAGGGACTTTGGATTCCTGGTTGTGGACTCACTGCGGTACAGATGTCCTTCGCAGCCTTGCTGAACTTGTCCCAGTAGTCCTCCTTCTCAGACTCGATCCTCCTCTCCATCTCTGAGGGTTTGGGATGTTCTGCTCTGGTCCTGAAAGGAGGCTGTCCCGCTGTCATCTCATAGATCAGACAGCCAAGGCCCCACCAGTCCACGCTCAGGCCGTAGTGCTTATGACTGATCAGCTCTGGAGCTGAAACCAAGGTGAGCGTTAGTCATCCTGTTTGATTTACCACAAAAAAAAAGTTTCTATCCCAGTCGAGAAACAAAAATCTCTTAAATTTGTCACTTCATGTTCGTTAAAACTGCTCAAGATCCACAGAGAGAAGTTTCTCTTCCTGAAAACTTATTTCAGGATCTTGCTAAGTCTCAGAATCTCCCAAATGTTTCTCAAGAGCTCCCCAGAAGTACTCATCTCAGGATCTGGCTAAAGTGTTTCAGGATCTTGCATAGGTTTTACATAATTTCACCATCTGTTCTTTGGGTTTTGCAAAAACATGTCCAGATCTTTCCCAAGGGTGACAGGATCTTTCCTTAGAGGTATCTTACAATCTTGTATTAGTTTTGTGAGATCTAGCAAAAATTTCTCAGAGAAACGCAAACTATTCTCAGGACTTTTAAAAGGTTTCAATATCTTGCAAAAGTCATAGGTTTTTTGCAATTCTCTTTCTATCTTGCAAAAGTTATTCCAGGATCTAGCAAATATGTCTTCAATTCTATCAAAGGTTCTTGAGATCTTGCAATAAATGTATGATGAGTTGAGTTCTCATTATCTTTGAATCATGAAAACAAGATCTGTCAAGTTTTCATGATCTTGCAAGAGCTCCACTGGACATCTCAAGAGCTTCTCACAATCTTGCAACATTAAAGTAGGATCTTACAAAGGTCTCCCAGAGGGTACTAAATTTTCACAAAATTGTGCAAATGTTTCTCATGACTATCCAAAACTTTCTGGTATCTTGCGTTCATTTCTCAAAACCTCCTTAACATTTCTTACTCCCAATTTTCACTGCATCCAGAATGGCTACGAAAAGGCTGTATCCACCGATCGCAGCTGATTGTAACCATTCAAGTTAATGTGTCGATTTCCACTGGCTTCTTTACGTCCCTTTGCAGATCGTAAGACTTCTATCTTTTCCAGACGCCGGAGCATGCTGGATAAATTCAGCACAGATTAACCCGTGCTGAAAAGGAAGTCGGGCACAGACACAAAATAAAACATCTGGCCTCTTTTCAAAATAAAACACTGTGTTTCAGGTGGATCGTATTTCACACCATGCAAACAGGCAGAGAAGAACAAGTGAAAGGTTTTTAGATATTATTTCACCCCAATGACACCATGGATGAGGAGATGCTGATTCTAGAAGTCTAGAACTAGATTTCTTTCTCTGGAAGGACACAATCTACTGCTTTTATGGTTAGCCTATGTGGCTAGAGACAACTTGTTATCGCGCAATTGCACGCAAATCCACGGGTTCTTGTGAGTTCTTATGATTCCTGCTGTCTGTAATCCGCCACAAAATTTCGCCTCCCAAACGTATCCGGTAGGAATCGGCGTACGGTGAAAATCACTGCCATTCCGAATTGGAGCATTCCAGATGCGGTGGAAATCCCGGGATGTGATCTTTCAAAAGTTTCACAGGAAAAACTTTGCAAACTCTCCAGACGCTGGAGCATGCTGGATAAATTCAGCAGAGATTAACCCGTGCTGGAAAGGAAGTCGGGCACAGACACAAAAGAAAACATCCGTCTTCTTTTCAAAATCTCAAGTTTTCATGATCTTGTAAGAGCTCCTCTGGACATCTCAAAAGCTTCTCACAATCGTTCAACATTAAAGTAGGAACTTGCAATGGTCTCTTAGAGAAATACTTAATGTTTCTCATGACGTCCAATACAAAACCTCTGAAACGTTTTATATGATCTTCCAAAAGATCTTGCAAAAACGTTCTTGTGATTTTGCAAGCACTCCCCAGGATGTTTAAAAATGTTCAGTGTCTTGCAAAATTTTTTTAAGATCTTGCAAATGTCTCTCAGAGAAATACAAACTCATGACTGTCCAAAACTTTTTTGGACCTTGCAAACATTTCTTAAAACTTCTTTGAACATTTCTCATGATCTTTCAAAAATTTCTTGTGATTTTGCAAAAGCTCCTCAGAACGTTTAAAATTTTTTAAGTATCTTTCAAAAGTTTAGTAAGATCTTGCAAAGGTCTTTCAGAAAAATGCAAAACTTACCAGGATCTTGCAAATGTGTCTAATTCTATCAAAGGTTCTTGAGATCTTGCAAAACATGTCTGATGAGTTGCGTAAGGTTCTCGTATCTTTTACAAAGATTCTCATCAGCTTTTTCTCAAGATCTCTCAAGTTTTTCACGATCTTGCAAGGACTCCTCAGGACATCTCAAAAGCTTCTCACATTCTTGCAACAGCAAACTATGATCTTGCAAAGGTCTCTCAGAGAAATACAATTTTTTTTTACAAAATTGTGCAAATGTTTCTTGTGACTGTCCAATACTTTTTTGGATCTTGCCAACATTTCTCCAAACTTCTTCGAACGTCTCTTATGATCTTCCAAAAGTTTCACAGGATCTTGCAAAAATTCTCTTTTTGATTTTGCAAGAGCTCCTCAGGATGTTTAAAAATCTTCAGTGTCTTGCAAATTTTTTGTAAGATCTTGCAAACATCCTTCAGAAAAATGCAAAACTTTGACAAGATCTTGCTCAGGAACATGTCTTATGAGTTGCATAAGGTTCTCAAAACTTTTCCAAGGGTTCTCATCATCTTTTTCTCAAGATCTCTCAAAACTTCTACTTCTAGAAGTCTAGAAGTAGATTTCTTTCTCTGGAAGGACACAATCTACTGCTTTTATGGTCAGCCTATGTGGTTAGAGACAACTTGTTATCGCGCAATTGCACATGAATCCACGGGTTCTTGTGAGTTCTTGTGATTCCTGCTGTCTGTAATCTGCCACAAAATTTCACCTCCCAAACGTATCTGGTAGGGATCGGCGTACGGTGAAAATCACTGCCATTCCGAATTGGAGCGTCCTGGGTGCGGTGGTAATCCCGGGATGTGATCTTTCAAAAGTTTCACAGGAAAAATTTTGCAAAATTTTTCTTGGGATTTTGCAAGAGCTCCCCAGGATGTTTAAAAGTTTTTAACTGCCTTGCAAAATTTTTGTAGGATCTTGCAAAGATCTCTCAAAGAAATCTAAAACTTTCACAGGATCTTGCAAATGTCCCTCATCATTTTACAAACTTTCTCATTAAACTTTTTCATGATCTCTAAAAAATTCTTAGGATTTTACAAAAGATTTTTGGAACTGACAAATATTTTTTAGTTCCTACACAACCTTCTGAACTGTTTTCTGGACTGGACCAGATTTGGTTGGTCCATTTTTGACTGGGGGTCTAATTATGGTCCTTCTCTGCTGGTTTTAATCTGAGTTTATGGATTCACGTTACACCAGACAGTTAAACCAGCACCTTCAATTTTTAGCTGCGACTAAAACACCAGGATCTTGACTCTGAATGTCATGTAGTGGATACTTACCCATGTATCCCAGTGTTCCCACCCTGCCTCGCACCAGACCTTCCTCAGACAGCCTCACAGCCAGGCCCAGGTCAGAGATGCGGATGTGTCCTTTGAGGGAACAAATACCACAAATGTTCAAAGAACTGGTTTCGAGACTTTTGCTGCGATGACGTACTTTCTCTTTAGCTTATATACTTAAATACTTCCTGCTTCCCTCGCAGGAGTTGGTGCTGGACCTAATCCAAAAACCCTGTGACAGTTCTGAGCTCAAATTACCAAAGGCATGCAAAGTGAAGGTGGTTCCAGGTCTGGGAGCCAGCGGCCAAGAATGAAGAAACAGCTGCACAGGTTTCTTAAAATAGCCGTCACCACACCTGAGTCCCAGAGGCTTGTCACTTTCTCAACCTGTTTGTACCCCAGTCAAAAAAAACCTTCACTGTTACTTCCTTCTAAGGAACAGGCAGGTACACCTGAGGAGTGATTAAATCATCAGAGTGGCTGCGATGTTGTCTTTTAGATTTTTCAGGTTAATCTCTAAAAGCTAAGCTAAAAATAGGAAAGTAAGGAGGTGTATGTCAGCGGTTTCATCATGATCTGTATGCCTCGGGTTGTTGTTTGCGGTCGTTGCTATGGAGAGGTTTATTACTCACACAAACAGGCGGCTGTACGTACCGTTGTCGTCCAGGAGGATGTTTTCTGGCTTCATATCTCTGGAAGGCAAACGCAGCAGTACGTTCAGAGTCAAAAATCGACTTCAAAAACCCCACTACTGTTATTACAGCCTGTTTCATGACTGGAGCATCTCCACACTAACAATAATAATAATAATGCATCAGATTTCATATAGCGCTTTACCAGAGCCCCTAAAGCGCTTTACATTGGATACATCATTCATGAGCTATCACAGTCACACCTTGATAGTGGTAAACTACCTTGGTAGTCACAGCTGCCCTGGGGCAGACTGACGGAAACGTGGCTGCCAGTTTGCACTTACGGCCTCTCCAACCACCACTCAACACTCATAATCATACACCAGTGGAGGACACACACTGGGAGCAAGTTGGGTTAAGTGTCTTGCCCAAGGACACAACGGACAGACTCAGGATAGAGGGGAATCGAACCACCAACCTTCCGGTTATTGGATGACTGCGCTACCTCCTGAGCTACTGCCAGAATTTGTCGTATTCATCCCAAAATCTAAAAAACATAACCCCAGATTGAAAACTAACCAAGAGCCTTCAGTGCACTGATCGAACAGAAATCTTCTGACCTGTAAACTATAGACTTCTGGTGCAGGTGAATCAAACCACAGCAGACCTCCGCAGCATAGAATCTCACTCTGTTCTGGTCCAGGCCTGGTTCACCGATGTTATAAATGTGAAACTTCAAGTCTCCACCACTCATCATGGTCAGAACCATACAGAGGGCGTGCTTTGTCTCATATGCATACGCCAGATTCACCTGGATGAAGAAAGAGGTATCAGGCTACTGAAACAAGAATCATCATGGTAAGTCAAAGGATCAAAGTCTAACTTCAGTCTCACCACAAACCGGCTGTCCAGCTCCTCCAGGATCTCTTTCTCGTTGAGGGCCATGGTTTCTCCTCGTCTCTTCTTTACGTGGGTTTTTTCCAACTTTTTGCAGGCGTACATCATTCCCGTGGATCGAGACTGACACGCCCACACCTGGAGAGGAAACAAAGAAATGATGCACAGATATCGTCTGATGGAGTATTTCTTATAGCGAGGAGGACTTCACATTCTTCGAGCACAGAATGTACCTCGAAAGGTTGCTGATCTTTATGCAACTTTGCAGAATGTGAAACTTCATCTAATTTTGACCTTGTCCTGTTGCGTTAGTGAATTAACCTTTAAGATGTGCAGTGCTGCTAAATAACAAGCGTAGAAACATCACGAGATGGAAATTTGTCCTTTAAGTCAGTTTGAGTGCTGATAACATTGACATGGTTTTGTATGTATTAGTATTTGTAATCTGGAATAGTTTCATAAACAAGCATTATATAAAAATTAGCATTAGTATGTGTTAGTATTTGTAATCTGGAATAGTGCATTAACTAGCTTAATAAAATAGTTAGCATTTGTATGTATTAGTATTGCAAATCGGAAATAGTTTATAAACTAGCTTAAAATTAAAGTTAGCACTAGTATGTATGAGTATCGAAAATCTGGTATAGTTTAATAAACTCGCTTAATATAAAAATTAGCATTAGTGTGTGTTAGTATTTGTAATCTGGAATAGTTTAATTAACCAGCTTAATAAGATAGTTAGCATTAGTATGCATTTACATGTTTGAGCAAGTATCTTGTTAACTAAACTTATCCTATTTTGCACCGACTGTATATCTCTAGTTCATTCATTGCTCTGGGTAGTAATACACTTCCTTTACAGCTCAGTTGAGTGTCGGTGTTCCTCAAGGCTCCAGTTCTGTTCTCCTTTTATTTTCTGTTTAAATGTTATCCTTTGGTGCGTTTACTCAAACTCCACGTGCCTCACCTTATTTTTAATACCCAGCTTTCTCACTTACTCAAAACTCTTAGTAGCTCATGTTGAATACTCAGTTCTAATTGTTTAAAATCCTATAATAAGGGGGAATACTTATCAACAATGATTGATACACTAGGGGTTCGGACAAATTTCAGCATTGCCTGTTGACTCTGTGGCAAAAATGTCAGCCTCCATTGTCAGTGGATACAGACGATTAAACCCAGTTCACTTTTAGGTGGATGTTGTTGAAGATGGAGCTCTTGGTCACGTTAAAAAGCCGAACAGTGAGGCTTTGTGACAATGATGGGTGGTTTGTAATAAACTGTGAGCTTCGTGGAAACTCTGGACATGTGTGATTTTTGAGTTTTGTTGAACTCCACCATTTCCCACGCTCTTAAAAACGTAACCTCCAATAGGCCCGAAACATTATACCCCCGCTGAGATCATTTCGCCTGAGATCACTGATTTATGAAGAACAGTTTTGTTTAAAGCTGGTTTGTTCTGATCATATCAATGTTTGTTATGGACCTGGAAATGCCATTTATTTTGTGGTGATTGAGCCTTTCTTTTTAAGTTTTATCTCTGAAGGATAAAATGTTGTGATTTCTGTGATTTTCAGCACTCTCACCTCTCCAAACCCTCCTTTGCCTAGCAGTCTGTACTGTCGAAACGTCTGCTTGGTGATGGGTTGCCTTGAAGAGAAAAGCAGACTGTTAATGTTCAGTCTTTGAGGAAATCTGCAAGCTTCCTCTGGCATATAGCCAACATTAAGAGCAGATAAACCAGCTATCCAAGCTTTTGATCAAAGTATGACCCTTACGTATTCCATCTTCTAAAAAGACACTTGAGAACGAACACACACTGACCTCTCCAACATCTTCCACTGCAGAAAACGGTCAAAAAACATGCTCTCCTGGTACAGGATGAAGGGCTCCTCTCTCAGGATCTTGTGTAGATCTCTGTGTGACATAAATAAGGAGTCAGTCCATTAAATCAAACCTGGACTATGAGATATCTTATAGTGCATGCATGGACGTACTCTTTGCAGTCATGAAAAACATCCCCACAGGAATCAGACATCAGCCTCTCGATGCAGCTCTGTTCATACTTCTGCATGCAGGACACGCTCTGATTCGACTAAGGGAGTGAAACATCGGGAATAAAGATAAAAATTCAAGAAATCAGCTGTTACATGTTCATGTCACGAGTTTTTTTTAGTACCTGGCTCATGAAGAATCTCTGTATGATATTGAAGCCAAAGTCTCCTCTCTCCTCATCTGACTTTGTCTCAAATACTTCCTAAAGGAGACGAGGAGGAAACACACATCTGAAACTTTAGCTGTAAAGAGTGGGATCTACTTTCTATAATCATCCGGGGTTTCAAGCTCCTTGTCAAGAGTTTTCATGTGAATACATATCAGATAACGGAGACATTTCTGGACTAACTTTGGAAATTATTCTACGGATATACAACTGCTTTTCCCCAACTTTTCTCATGAACTTGCTTGACAGAACAGTTCACATTAGTGAGCAATGGCATAATTTGTCTCTGAAACTTTTTACAATCACATAGTCCATATGTTTGCACACACTCTGTGTCTCTGGGTCATATGTTGCTCCAGGTAATGTTATACTTCCTTAAACCTCAGTTCAGTTGAGTTGTAGTGTTCTTCAGGGCTCCATTCTTGGACCCCCTTATGTTTTCCTTTTTACGGTTATTCAGAATCCAGATTTGTTCAACTTTGTTCAGCTTTCTCTACCACTTAATTTGATTTTAAAATACTCTGCTTAACAACAACCTGATCACACATTTCAGCTCTGCCTGTTGACACTGTGGCATTTAAATCTCATCCATTTGTAGGTGGGTATTTTTTTGGCCTTTTGAATTTATGCACATGGAATATAAAGCTGTAAAGGTCTAGCCCAGCCCTCAGTTCATCTTCTGATCCTATCGCTGGCCAATATCAGCCCCACATTTTTAGAGTACCAGAGCATCTTGCAGGGAAATGTAGTTCTGCAGGTCATGCCGACTCCGACAGAAGAGCTGGAACAGTTTCTTCCCAATCGGCTGCTTTACACACAAACTGACGTAATCCCGCTCTGATGAACGAACAAACACACCAGCATGTTAGTTCACACTAAAAACCACCTCATGCGTTGTTTCATAAACACTCACGCACACAAACACACACCTATGCTCTTGGCGAAGTCCTCACACTGGCTGATGTGAGGGAACTTCAGCATCTCCTTCCACTTCCAGCTCCTTCCTTTGCTCCCCCCTCCTGCAGAGAAAACAGATTAAAGCAGCGTTGTCAAACACATGACAGCAACAATGATGGATATCTCTGGTCTGTCAGCAGCCAGTTAGAAACATGCACGTGGACGTGCACGCCTGGCCTGTCAGGTTTCAGACAATAGTGCACTCCTCTACTGTGAATGAACTATTTATAGCGCTGAGCCTGTGGGACTGCATTACTCTGAAACTTACTTTCAAAGTTACGCTGATGGCCCTTCACCTGAAGATTAATTCACCTACAGCACATCTGTTTATCAGTGTCAAGGAGACAGAGCATGAAAATAAATGTTTTTCTTTGAGGGAGAATCCAGAGTTAGACCTCTGCAGTCTTCTTTTCCAGGCAGCAGCTTTTATAAGATTACAGGAAGATGAACACAACAGTTTAGTTTCCTCTTTCACCTGCAGATTTGTCAAACTTTTAAAAAGCTCAAACCATCAAGAAGAAGTAAAGTAAAAAAAGAAAAAGGACTCCTGCAAATCTAGACATTTAAAAATTTGCTTTATTGACTCAAAGAAACTGATCGCCGTCTGTCTTAGGAAATCGAATGACTTCAAGAGTCAGTTTGGACCAAAAACGTTAGAGATGATCAGCTTACCGTTCACATTTCCAGTAGTTAGTACATAACTTCCACACAGGCTTTAGAAAAACGGGAAAATGTTGAGGAGACAAGTACTAAACTGTTTAAACCAGGAACTGACTTTAAAGCAGAGCAATCTGAGGCACAAATGGGATACCCTCCCCATATATTATGCCATACCGGCCCATTTCAGACCTTTTGTATCACATCACTATATTATCAATTGTATATTGTATTGCATTGGATCATATCTTTATGTTTTGTATTGAGCTGGATTGGATCATCGTGTCATGTTGTACTGTTTTGTATCATATTGTATACTGTTGTGCTGTTCTGCATCTCTTTTCTGTGATATATTGTATTTAAACTCCCTTTACCATATTGTACTTGAATGTATCATGGACAGTTTTTGTTCATTGTTAATGTATTTGTACTTTTTGCTCTTCTATAGTCTTTCCAACCACTCAAAGTCTTTTAACTCTCTGCATCATTTTCAACACTCTGAAATCTTTGTATGCAGACGATACTCTAGTTTAATCCTGTTTCAGTAGATAGTTCTGGTCCATAACACAAAATAAACTAGTCTTATTGTTCTGACGAGAATAAACCTGCTCTCTTCTCCATTTATAAATCTGTTTCAAAGCTAATCAGGACTTGATCTGGTTTCTGGTCCTACATGACCTGATACTCAAAATCAAGAGAACTTCATAATAACACGCTGCTCGCTTTAATCATAATTAATTGTGTGTAATGACTGTTTCCATTACACTCAGGGAATTTCCCTTTTGTGATCAATAAATTTCTTCTTAATTATAACCAGCTAATCATTCTATTGTCCCTCTTGATGTTCCAGTTATTTCCAAACCTTTAATGTTGGGAATGTTCTCTAATTTAGCCGTGTTTTAGTCAATGGACGCTCCCACAGGACCTCTCTGTGGATTTCTTCAGTTTGTGGTTTTTATCTCAGTTGGAGTTTTGTGTCTTTTCATTGGATTTTAGTTTAGTTAAAAGATGACAGACTAAAATTTTAGTTGGTGCATTTTCACTGAAGTTCTCCAAGTTCATATAAAAAATAAAGTTTACACAGATTTACAGTTCACACAGGTTTTTCTTTTACGCAGTTTACAACAGGTGCAAGATGTTTTTATGGAGAAACAGAAGCAGCACAGACACAGAGAGAAGTTTATATAGGTTTGTAAAAGAGTGTTTTTGATAAATCAGTTACTGGTCTGTTCTCAGTGTCATAGTGAAGCCCCTGTCCTCACATCACCCAAACAAGACGTGATTCATGACCTAAGAGACTCCCTCCACTCCTCACCGTGATTATGTCATGATGTGGGACGGGGAAATATGCAAGTCAGAGTAGTAAAAGTTCTTAAAACCTTCGGAATCACGTGTTCAAACATGCTTTTTTTAAACTTTTAAATTAAGTAGTTTGTTTTGACTGTTTTTATCACCATATAAATAACTCTAAGTTCATCTCTTTCTGTCTTTCAGAATTTTCTAACAAAAACTCTGTAAAATGATGGAAAGTCCTCCTACCTTCTCTGGCTCTGATCAGAGCACTGTTTGCCACCATGCTTTCGATCTCCATGTTAAAGAGTCAGTGTTTCCTCTTCTGTTTCATCCACAGTGATCCAGCCTTCAGGCACCGACTCTGGTCAAACCATCAGGAGCCTCACGGAGCAGGAACAAACCATCCGGTCTGTTGAGTTGAGGCTCTGAGGAGTGTCGTGCACCTGCAGGCCGCTGACTCACAGATGAATGGAGCTGCAGGTGTTTGTACTTTTATTTTGTATGACAGCGTGCTCCAAGCACAGGACGCTCCCTCAGCTTGGGGGCGGGGCTTAGTAATCACCTGCTGAACAAGTTCCTGCACAGAAGGAGTGTGAGGATACTTAAAGGCGTGTTTGCACTGACAGAAGCCAGGTGTTTTAGTACCAGGAACTTTTTTTTTCAGGAGGAGAGTCGGAGTTTGGGTCGTAAGAGATCCTTTGGGATCATTAGCCTCTGTAAGTATGGAAATAAAAGGTGTATAGTTTGATAAATCAGCTCACCTCTGCAAAGAGGTGCAAACAGGTCATATATTCAATGCCTAACGATGTATTCAAGTTTGGTTTTGTTGGTCGTTCAATCAATCAATTATCAGTCTTTATTTGTGTAGCACTTTTCATACAAGAACGATGTTGCAAAAAGTGCTTTACATAGCAGAGAAATAAAAGAAACAAAGAAGAACCAAATCTACCCAAACTTAACCCCTCGTTCCCACCCCACATTCTAAGCACATGTATTAAAAATACGTAAACTTAAAAAGGGCTCGATTTCATATTAACAGGAATGTGTGGTCTGAGGAAACACCGTTTTAAAATTTAACATGAGGAAACACTGGAGGTTTAAAATCTAAAACTAAAGTAACCTACTTACTTAGACTTAGTTCCTCCTGTTCCTATTGGAACATTGGGCGACGAGTCCCCTCCATTTGCTCCGGTCCCTAGCGACCCTTCTTGCTCCATGCCAGCTGACTCCCATCTCGCTCAGGTCTCCCTTGGCTGTTTGTCTCCATGTCTTCTTTAGCCTCCTTCTCCTTCTCTTTCCCCCTCTGGCATCCAGTCTATTGCCACACTTGCCGGTCTCTCTCTTGGCAGTCGAGTACATGTCTGGTCATTCTCTTTCTCCTGTCAGAGACGATGTCAGACAAGGGTGCTACACCTGCCCTTCTCATCACCTCTTCATTGGTGATGTGGTCTCTCCATGATATCTTTAGGATGGATCTGAGGCACCGTTGATGGAAGACATCTAGCTTGTTGATGATGCTGGCTGAAGTGAAGATTTGTTCGGAGCAGGATCTACCCTTTCGGAGGCCGGCTTGCTCTTCCCTCAAGAGGGTATCAACCTCATCTTTTAGGTGTTGGAGCAGCACCAAACCAAAGTAACATAAGATTAGATTTTAGAAATAATAGATAAAATGAAATAAAGCAACAGTAAAAGATACTAAAAGGACTTGCTCTGAGCTACATTTTAGAGCTTTTAATACCTTATGAACCATCTTGCAACCTCAGATCCTCTGGCCAAGGCCTCCTGGTTGTTCCAAAGTCGAGGCTCAAAACTAAAGGTGATCGATCTTTCGCCATCAGAGCTCCTCGACTTTGAAACAACCTGCCAGAGGAGAGAAGGCATACAGAGACAGTCACTTCTTTTAAGTCAAATTTGAAAACTCACTTTTACAGACTTGATTTTATGTGATGCCGTCTTTTCTCTTTTATCTCCTTTATCTTATTTCGACTTACTGTCCTTTTAGCCTTTGTTTTACTTATCATCTTTTCTTATTTAACCTTTTAGGAATTTTATTGATTTTATTGTTTTTTCCTGCTCATTTTTGTAATTCCATTTTATCATTAATATTACCATCATTATTCATTTACTGTGATTTTATTATCATTATGAATAGCCTCTTTTTATATTTACTATCCTGTTTTCTGCTTTATACCCCCCTTTTTAATTACATTTCTTTTTCTTACCTATTTTATGTTTTTATTTTGGTCCTCATGGTCTCATTTTATGTTGTAAGGTTCTTGTATTTTCTGGGTTTCTTATGACAAATTGGCCTTCAATTGGGAGGTCTTGTTTTTAACTGAGCTTTTGTTTTTATTTGTTTTTATTTCCATAAAAGACATTCCTATCATTAATACTAGAAGAGATAAATGCTAAAACACTTTAACAAAGTTAATAATTTAAAATTTAGTTAAAAGCAAGACTAAAAAGGTATGTTAAAGGGCATCACTTTTATTTTGATCTGTTTTATGAACTTTTAAAAGCTCCTCATAAAAGTTTAAAAGCACAAAAAACATTTAAATATCAAAAAAGCAGCTTTGTTTGTCCTCAGGGGGGATTTAAAGATTAAATACAATCCTGTCAAAAAAAAAAAAAAACTGCTGTTTTGTCCTGTACATCCCAAAGTCCATGTAGAGGTATCAGTGCTAATTAGTTTGTTTTATAACGGGCTAAAACTCCCCACAGCAGCTTCAATCAAGTTTGGACTTGATTCTGGATTATGTTCAGGATAAATGCTAACATCTGGTGGGGAAATGGTGCAACTGCAGATAAACTAAAATGTTTGCATTACAGGTTGAACCATGAGTCACTGAGGTCGTCTGGAGAATTTCTGCTGTAAGTAAGAAAAAAAAACACACACACAAGATGCAATGAAAAAAAAAACACACACACACTTCTTTTCAGTCTTAATGTTTTATATCTGTTTGTTTCTGTCTGTCCTGGTACGGAAAAATTTTAAAGGAGATCCCCCCCTGCTGCTGCTCATCTCAGCACCTCCTGGTTCAGGTAAGTTTGCGTTTACAAACTACTTTGACTTTATTTTCTGATCTGCTTCATTCTGTCATCGTATTTAACATCAGCAGAGGTTCACAGATCAGTAGAATCTGAAATCTGCTTTCACCGAGACGAGGAGGGTTCAAACGTCATCGAGACCACGGTCAGATCAGCTGTTTCATTCTGCCCGAAACCAAAAGCCTGACAGAGAAACCTGCTGCCCCGATCCAACTTAGGGCTCATAATTCCTGAAAAAGTCCTCAGTCAGATTTTGGAGCCGTGTCAAATCGATCATGGACCGTTTTAATGACTCCAGTTTCTCACAGGATAAAAAGACAAAGTGTCGTCTGTCTGTCTGAGCTCTGTGAAAAACTCGTCAGAAAACTCCCCAAGAGGGTTTTATTATCAGTTAATTTTGAACAACTGTTCATATTTTAACATTTTTATAAAGAGCACACTGTTGTGGGATGATGTGACAGTAATAAGATCGAGACTCAAGTGTAAATGTAGAAATTCAGACTCAGATTCACCTCCTGCAGTGCATGACTGATTCAGTTATCTTATAGCTACAGTCGTGTTACAAATTCAGGAAGTTACACATAATAGAGGAAACTCATATACCTGTCTTTTTATGATGCAGGTAATCGTGCAGAAGCCCCTTTCGAGTGTGAGTGCAGGTCAGTGGAGGACTTTGGAGGAGGGACAGTTGCACTTCTACACTTCTTTGTGGCCTGTCACGTGTACACTCCTGAAATTTTCCTGAAATTTTCAGGAGCTCTGACCGCCCAAAGTTTTCATTCACAGAGTTATCTTCTTTACATCATCCTTTTGGGTTTCCCAGACTCATCCTGACTTTTTGCTGAGATTTTGCATGTGGCGTGGAGAAGGAAAAGTCTGGGTAAAGTTTGGGTAAAACTGTAACCTCTGAACATTTTCAGCTTCACCCTCGGTCTTCTCTCTAAAACTGTGAAGAGGACTTCCAACGATAGAGTTGACCTTCTTTAACCGCCTGTTGCACAACTCTTCGTGTTATGTGTTTTCATAAATTGTAGATTTTTTAAAGAGAGAAACAGAATTATTTCCTCTTTATTATTTCCTTTTTTAGTTTGGACTACTTTAACTCATCTTTAGGCTTCAGCTTGTGATGAGGAGTCACACGTTGGTATTTCTTCATTTTAAAGGCACTAATGTCACATGACTGAGAGAAAAGTGAGGCTGGTATTTCTGGAGAAATCACTCTGACCTTCAAAAATAACATTTACCGAAACAAGCATTAAAACTGATGAGTTACGAGTTATCTATGAACCGCTAAAACCGAGTTTAATTATGATGTTTTACGTTAAAGCTTTCTTATCCACTAAACCAGCTTTTTCCCATGTTTCTTAAATATACTAAAATTAACACTGGTCTCTTTTTATGACTGACAAAAGCAGACGAGACCACCAGGGTCAAGAGTCACTATTTTAAATGGCTGAAAACAGCATGAGGGGGGTCGGTGTCACAGGAGCAGCTGGAGGAACATCCTAGTTTTTACATTTTCCACATTGAATATTCTCAATAAATGAAACATCTGATCATCAAAAGTCTGCAGGAAAAGACACAAATTAAATACGTAAAGGGCAAAATAAGCAGAGACTGCTTTGTCCTTAGGGGGCGCCAAACTGAAAGTCTCTCACAGGAGCTTTTAAGTACAATACATTTTAATTCATGTCTTAATACGGCACAACACCCACTGCTTATAACTCCATGTAAACTTCTCTATAAGATATTCTGAATGCTTAAAATCACCTTAAGGATTTTAAGATAAAATATTATTCATTATAAATGATGTCAGGTTTAATTTTCACATTATTAAATTAATCATGGTTACACCTGAGGAGGCCTTTAGTTGAACTTTTCTTTCTTGGAAAACAAACAAATCTTATTCTGTTTTCCTCTTTTAACTTTCTCTGTAACTCTCTCTCTCTCTTTGTTTATCTTCAGAATTGATTTCTCTTTGTGTGGCGATGGCGGTGTTACACGCTGGATTTGTTTTTTTATGTCCTGAATTGACCTTTTCCTGCAGGATCACAGGGAGGTGAGTTGTTTCTTTAATTGTTTTTTACGCCTCATTGGGGTACGACACACTTTGAGGCCTCCCTGGTCTGACTTCGACCGTTTTATGCCAGTTTTCCACTCTATCCACTGTCCTGTCATCTCAATAGGAGTATAAAAAAACCTGAAAACGTCTGAAAAGCATCATTTTGGTAAAAAAAAGTGATACGATCA